CTGAGTGTTTTACGGAGCTCGCAACTGCATAAAAAAGGTCAATGAGCGTGCGGGACACATATAATAAATATTAAATATTTTCAGTTTGATAGGAAATTTTTATTTGAATTTTGTGCGTGTGGCAGCTGAAGCCTACTCATCTTTTCAATTTTGGACCACTCAGGGATCTTTAACGTGCGCGCAACTTAATACAGGACATCCAAGATTTTTCGCCTTTATCCGAGAAGGCTAAAGGTGTTAAATGTGTCATGGCGTGGTGGAATCAGGTGCTCGTCAATTTTTGGGATGGGGTTTTATGGATATCATCTTAAAGCCTGTCCATTTGTCTTCCTTTAGGTGAAAAAAATACTGAATGTTCAACAGAAGTCAAAATATAATTGCGATTGAATGTCAGGGTCGCCTGATTTCAAAGGTAAAATTATCAAGAAAATGGCGGCCAAAGTTTTGTAACTTCCATAGCCTAGAACAGTCCTTGGAAATTAAAATTTTACATTTTTGAGCTTTTTATCAATGCTTTTCAGCAAAATCCACACAGAAATGTGTTTTTAAATGGACGTTGAAGGTGTGGACCCAAAAAAAAAGAAAATAAGAAAAAATTTAACAATCACCAATCAGTCAAAAAATGACAATTTCTTTGATTCCATTATTTTGACGGGCCTGATTTCACCAGAATGCCTCACAAATCTTATATTATCTACCATAAGACCAGGGTTGTGGCTGAAAGACAGCGCTCAGTAAGAAGGAGCCAAGTAGTATAATTATAGGTAGCGTAAACACGGCCTCGCGGGCACTCGCGGCCAGAGCTGTTAAAGTACTTTTTAAAAAGTACTTTTAAAGTACAAATTTTAGTACAATCTAAAAAATGTACTTAAGTACAGTAAAAGTACTTTCCTGTAAAATGTACTTGAGTACAAGTACTTTTTAAAAAAGTATTGAGTACATTTTGAGTACTTTCTGCTAATATGCTAAAACACTTCAGCGCTTTTATATATGCAAAACATCATATATTACATAACATATCCAGTATATTTGACAAATTAGGCTATTTATTAATAAAAATGTAAACAGTATACAAAGCATGTGATACAATGTACGCACTGAACGAAGGTGGAAATGGTCAGTGAAATTGAAAAAAAAAACCCAACAAACAGACGAAACTAGTGGGTAAGTGATATTATGAATAGAACTTGTTTGAGCAAGACAATGTGATCAAATGTAAGTCAGTCCAATAGGTCGGAAAGTTCTACAGAAAAAGTATCCAAATTGGAAAATGTAGAGAGATACAAAGTTGCTCTTAAGAAAACATAAAATTAATGAAAATGGCCAGCATACAAATGGAAAAGTGCATTGAATTCTTCATTAACAAATCCTCAAGGAATCAATGTTGCCTTGCAAAAACCACCCATAGGCAGCCTAAAAAATTAAGATATACCATTGAGAAAACAGTTTCAGATTCAATTGATTATAGTGGTAAGACAGATTTTGGTCACACTACTAGTAGTCCACGGCGCCCACGGCAAACCAAAATACAATGGTTTCCTAGAGTCTAGTAAGTGTAGTGTAACCAAAGATTCTCTACTACAGTCTCCACCTAAGATCCCAGTGCTCGGAAGCAAGAAAAAGAAGGGATCTTAGCCGACGAAGCCAAGGAAGAATCTACAGTGACCCTTGAACTGACGTGACCCCTGGGTGGTTTTATCACATATATGGCAAGCAAAGAGTGGTCAACCTTGATGACCAATCACAGTGGCATGAGACATGCCATAAATAATATACACACTCATTAGCCTATCGTGAGTCTTGAGATCTTTATCTACGTTTATCCAGTTGCCCCTCCCCTTCACCTATCCAACAATTTTAGCTTTCCACCTCTGGTTGAGGTTCCCCCCCCCCCCCCACACACACACACCGCCTTTACTTTGTCGTTACGCACCATTACGTTGTGGCCACACCAATTAAAATTCAGGCTGTCTCGCAAATTCGGGAATAGAGAAAAATTTTAACTGCTTTCAATGGTCAGGGAAGAGTTCACAGTTTGATGTGATCCTGCCTGGAGCGAACTTGTAGGTCCTACCCACCCAGTGAGTGATGTAAGTTTAGGTGGTGAGCTCAGATGCGAGTGCGATGTTTGGGGAAAAGAAACGCATCGGTCAGTTCACACCATGGTGTGATCCCATCTGGAGCTAACACTGTACCGTTTCATGGAGTTTTACAAGTAACGCTTGTGATCACATTCACGATAGTGGCTGATCTTTGACGCGACGGGCCGTTCTTTGATCTCAACTTTTAACTCTTGGTTGATCGGCTGTGCCCGTCCGGGTGTCTGTTCCGTAAATAATGATCAGAAATGCCAGCACTTACCCTTTCATTAAGCTCAAAAGTACTCACAAAAATGTACCAGAGTACAGTAAAAGTACCGAAAATTGTAACGTGTAAGTACAAGTACCGGAGTACAGTACTTGTACTCCGTTACTACCAGCTCTGCTCGCGGCCTTCCGACCCCGTGGTATATCGGTGAAATCGGGGTAATTCCCATCGCTGTTTCTTTGCTCTTTCACTATAAAACACCAAATGCCATACACCTTGTAAAAGTTCAGCTTTTCCTCGTTACAATGGAGTAAGTTTATTGATTATTATGAGCTGGAGAAGAAGAGAGCTTGTTGTAGAGGTGCGGGCCCATAATGTGGCTGAATTCTATATAAATCTTTCATGTTCTTATGTCTCATCAAGATGCATATAAAGTAGTTGACAAATCTAATCTAGTAAATCGAATCACACAAGTCACTTCATTGTTGACTATAATATTATTTATCTCGATGAACACTGATAACAGTTTAAAATTCTGTCTAGTTCAAGAAAAAAAAAACGTATGGAACGGTCGGGGTGAGGTGCAGCGGGGAAGCATGTAGCCGGTTTTCGATGACACGTGTCAATGCGTGTCGCGACGGTCTGCTGAAATCGAAGCGGCTATGTACATGGCCGGTTTGGCGATCCCATTTTTTCATCAGCTAGAGGTGTCCGTTTTGGAAAGTCTCAATTAAAACATATTTCTAGTTTTTTTTTCAAACTTAATATTTATTGGGGACACGTACGTATTAGTTACTATTCATTAAGCAAATTTTAAAATTTTTGAAATTTTTGCATGTAGCCGGTTTGTGAATCCCATCGACGAAATGCTTCGCGGAACGAGGGATGATTAAACACCATCTTTTCATTGGTGGAGAACTATAGGAGCTTTCAACGGGCTTTCCTGTGATATAATTTTGGCCTTTGGCTTATATAGAAAGCCTTTAAAAATAGCGTCACAATTTTCAAAGACCATTTTTTACACAAAATATGTAAAATACCGGCTCAAAAAAGGAGTCAATTAAAAGATCAGTTTATTTTCTATTAGAAAAAAGTAATAAGCTTGGAATTATTTTGCATCAATCCTTCCGCGAGACTCGGCATGTGAACCCCACGCGGGGTACACTACAGTAATAGAGCCGACTCGTTCGCCGCGGGGGCCGGTGCGGCGCCGGACAGGTCAATGCTCTGTGTTTTTGTCGAAATAACGGCAGATCATCGAGCTTGAGGCGATAAAATACTGATTTGTAATGATCTCAGTCTTGAAAAAAATTAGGCTCCATATGTTATAATTACTCTGTTAATGTGGAGATGTTTAGTGCACTTGGTACTCTTTTGTTATCTGTCAAACATGGGGTTGCAGCCAATGACTTACTTTAGCAAATTATATCAAATTTTAAACAACTACCATTTTCTTAAAAATTGACTGAGAGGTTAAAGTAATATGGTACCAAAATGCTCAGTGGACATAGAGGCCTTTCAAATGGAACAGATAAATTTGGCATACAGCTACTTTGAAAATTTAGTTTCTGGCACCTAATAATTAGTTGTAGTAGTTCTAAAGTAAGGCTGCAGAAAGAGTCAGGAGCCCAGAGGAGGGGGTGGGGGCAGAATGTGGAGATGGCAACAGACGACAGAACATTGCAGAAAATTTTTGATTGTATCGTCAACGGCCATAAAGAAAATTTCTTAAAACTTAATTTATGATATTTTATCTATCATCGGGTGGGGGGGTTCAGGGTTAGGTTTCGGGTTAGGGATAGTGCTAGGTTTAGGAAAGGCTCTGTTTAGAGCTCTTGGGCTAGAACCATTAGCGTGGGCTAGGTAAAAGTTTGGGCTATTTTAAGTAAGCCAGGTTATACAACGTATGTCATAGTGGTCGCTTCTAAAATTAGAAGTCCTTCAGAGCAAATAGGGGCCAGACTGACGAGGGACCAGAATGCCGAAATAGGCTTATCAGGCGATCGCCCGATCAAGCCTATTTCGGCACCTCACCTACGCTCTGGTCCCGAATCAGTGTACTGGCTCAGCGCACACACACCGCGCATCATCTTGCGTGAAATTCGGGTTCCGAGTCGGATCCCCATTCGAGGCATATGTTTCATTCAAAACACGCCAAGTTGGTAGCTCTAGATGTTCGTCCAATGAAATTATAGAAGAAATTGACTTCGTCCAATGAAATTATATCGAAGAAATTGACTCACTTACTTTCAGACATGATCATGAGGAGCTCAAATGGATAGTCAGGAAACAAGACTTCCATTTTTCTATACAAAATCTTTCAAATGAGCTTGATTTTGTGAACAAATGATACGACGAACATCTAGAGCTACCAACTTGGCATGTTTTGAATGAGACGTATGCCTCGATTACGAACCAACGCAGGCGGTTCTAGAAGAAGGCCACAAACGCACACAAACTCAAACGCCCGCCAACAATACACACTGAGTGACCCCGGCAGCCTTACCCGGCACGTCCGACGAAATTGGTTGCTGATAAGATTCGCATCTCGGCACAGACGCAGGACAAGAGAGTTAGTGCCCAAAGCCAAAATTTTTTAATAAAACGGAGTCACACACACACACACTCAAACTCAAACATACACACACATATGATCTAGATAATCTAGATCTAGATTTTATTTATAGAATCTTCTAGATCTAGAATCTAGATCTAGATATCTATATCCATGGAGTTCATATTTTGTTGACTTTTAGTAGAGATTTGATCTCTGTCTTTTTTATTGACATTTCGAAACGACTTGCATTCCGGCACCCGTCGATCCAGCTGCTGACCCCACCATAAAAGCCTTCAAACAAAAATAACTTAACATAAAAAAGCATTTATACACTTCAATACCTGGAACGCTCTGTGGAGCCGTTCTAAAAACGCATATTTCGATAAAAACTTCACATCAGGTCTAAAAAGTAGTCAACGTCAGAAGGAGCTCTGCTATTCCTTCAGTCTACCATTGTTTTCAAACTGTACATACGCGACGTCAACATCCGGTTTGCTCTTTCTGTAGTTCCATTGGTTAAAAATCCGTCAATTTTGCCTGTTCAAATAATTAATAGGCTAGGCCTAGGCTGGGCTGGCCTGGGCCAAGAGGGGCATAAAAAAAATATATTGCTATAGGGCCTAGCTAGGCCTGGCCTAGACCCTAGATTCTTGCTAGATATAGGCCCCTAAGCTAGGCCTATAGGGTAGCCTTGGCTACGTGTTTTTCATTTAGAGCCTAGCCTTGACACCTAGAGGCCTATATTTGAAATTGTGATAATAGACAAAAGCATTCTAAATGATTCAAAGATTGGATCAGCAGCGATGCACTATTGGGGGCCTGATGCAGATTCTTTTTAAATTTATAGAAAACACTAAAAGTGACCCAGTCAGTTTTTATCCACTCCCCCCGTTTTTTGTTTTTTTTTCGACTTGTCACGACCGACGATCATGCACGTATTATAATATATAGAATCTATAATATATGCGTGAATAAAACTTCTTTTCTTTTTTTTCTCTTTTTTTTTTTCTTTTTTTTTTTGTAAATGGCAAATTACCCTCAGTATTAATAGTACCGGTGGGTTGGCTACCTCAATTTTCTGTGCTTTTTAAAAACTTTTGTACATTGATTTATATATTTTTTAGTGCAACTGTTCCAAATTGGGAAAAGTTGCCACAGTCACTGACAAAAATCACTAAAATGTCATATTCTCTTGTTCTTTTATTCACTGAAGGAGAAATAATACAGATTTCCAACTAGTTACAGGGGTATGAGCAGAGAGGGCTTACAGTGTTGTGAGTGCTTGAATGTGCCACCTGTCCCCCCCCCCCCCCT